TTTCTTTGCTCTTTGATGGATCATGCTCATCTTGAACTTTGACGCACAGCTGTACACGGATCAAGAGGTTTTCAAGGTCCACGACCTCTTGGAGGTCTATGGCATTTATACCCTTGATGTACACTACGGCGAGCAGCAAGGGTGGGTCAATCCGCTTGCTGCCAGTCTATTGACTCGGGAGACTTGAATGCTCATTCAGGAAAGCCACGTTTTTGGTGTTGCAGCGATGAGTTTTCTCCAGAGCGGCCAGCGCCCACATTAGTGCCGCGCATCCACGTCCTCCACTTTACCAAGCTTCAAAACTCCAACCCTAGTCTTCTTCACAATCCAGGCACCCCTGGTAAGTGGTGTGTGTGTGTGTGTGTGTGTGTGTGTGTGTGTGTGTGTGTGTGTGTGTGTGTGTGTGTGTGTGTGTGTGTGTGTGTGTGTGTGTGTGTGTGTGTGTGTGTGTGTGTGTGTGTGTGTGTGTGTGTGTGTGTGTGTGTGTGTGTGTGTGTGTGTGTGTGTGTGTGTGCCCCATTTTCGGTAGCAACAGAAGCTGTTGCAGCTGTTGCACGCCAAGCTCGGCCAATGCTTTTTGAAGCGCTTCTCCAGGTATCGCCAGCTTTGCTTTGCCTTCTGGTAGCCCTGCTCTTCTGCTGGCTCACAGGTTCATGTGTTGGTCGAGTACAGGTCCTTGGTGGAGATGAGCTTGCTGCTACCTATCTCCTTCTCAACCTCATTTCTAGCGTGTAAGAGCCTTGGACCAATCTTGTTTCACGGCCATTTGTAAGCGCTCCTGCCAACGCACATTCTTTTTGTCACCGGTGTTTACAGTCAACTGCGTCGTGAAGACATTGTTTTGGGCAAGTTTAGCATCAACCTTCATCACCGCGCACACGGCAAGGACATGGTGGCTCAGTAAGACATCACCGTTTCATCCGCTTGCCGATATGATTGCATGCACGCGTATTTCCGCTCTCACGCGGTAATGTTTTCCAGGTTGCGACCTTTGCTGGACCACGTGCTTGACAAGACAGTGGCTTTGCCCTTGCATGTGGAGTATCTCAATCAAACGCGCCTGGTATGTCTGGCGGCTCAGGGCCGTTTATGTGAAACCAACGAGACTCACAAGTACGATCGCTTTGGGGGTTCAACTACAGATGCCCAAAAAGGATTATGAGCGTGAACGGGTAGAAGCAGGTGCTTTGCAATTGGCAGCCCACACCCACTTGACCCTCGATGAGACGCTACTCGAACAAGGGCAGCTTCTTGAAAACGGTTTGTAATACCTGGGTACAACTATGACAACGATGAAACATTATGCAGAACTGCTTTCTTTGCGAGTTTTTGCACTGAATTCGCATCGTTTGCCACTGTTTCCGAATGCTACCCATTAGGGGTTAAAAACCTTTTGGCGCTGCAGCAAGTGCTGCAGTTTCAGGTTGGTCGGTCTACGAGCAAAGCTGTTGCTTTTGATGGCGGCATATGTAAAACTCGCGAGTCGTCAGCTAACTGAGTTTTGCAACATTGGCGTATGCAGAGCGTCCCCTACGAGTTTGAGCACATGAGCCCAATGTTTTTTCCCTGCGATATTCCTGTCCTCATCGTTTCTGAGGCCAAAAGCTTGCTACCGGTTTGTTTTGTCATCAGACAGTCTTCAATAATGTCTGGCCAGATGCACGCTCACCCACTTTGCTGCTCATTGCACAGGTTGACATTATTGTCCCGGTTGCTCCGGTGCACCCGCCGCGATCGAGCGAAGTAGGCCCAGATCTTCGGGTTGTCTCTGTCGTCAAAAACATGAAACGCACAAAGTAACCAACAATGTCCCTCTTATAGTTGACAGCCGACGTTGTGGAAGCCGTACGTAGCTTCCTTGCAGCTGCCCGACACACACCAGTGGAAATTCCCGAAGCCGTGCAAGGTGAGTGAAAATTTGGCTTTGCAATGCTTGAGAAGCTGTTCAAGAAAAGCAATCTGGCATCAAGTTTGATTGGCTCAAGTCCATCGAGTACTCATCCCTGCTTCTCTTCATTCCCGCCAGGAGAAATTGAGAGACGCTTCGTGCAATCGCGCCAAGACTCGGCCTCTGTCACAGGCGATGTGCTGCATCGCTGGTTGTCCATGGCAAAGTAAGCTCTTTTCTCTCTCGTAGCGTGCTGGCGTGAAGGTCCTAAAGGCGCGTAATACCCATTTTGAACGTTATTGTGGACCATGTAGGTTGCGGGCTGCAAGCTTTGGCCGTTCGACATTGTCCATGGAGGACTTTGAGGCAGTCCAAAACATGGAGGCTCAACGCGAAGCCCGTGTACCACAGCCGGCCGCCGAAGGCTGATGGTGATGTTGGTGGCAAAACGAAAAAATTTCCCAATCAATCGAAACACGCCTCCCCACTCGTCCGGCATTTCAACAACATCAAGCCATGCTTGGTCTCAAGCATGAATTATAAGATGATACCATAGCTTGTCGATGAGACGCGATAAGCGCGCTAAGCAAAAAGCAAAGCACGTGTCTTTCCTCTGATATATCATGATTGTCTGCATGTCAACGGAGGTGACTCCAGATGTTTGTGCGGCCTTCATTTTCAGCTTGGGTCAGCTTTTCGCGAGTGCTTTTGACCTCAGCATGCTCAAGGCCCAGCTCAACTTTTTGCGACACCAAGGCTTGTTTCAAAAGAGCTTGACCTGCTCAAGGATTGACCATCGCGGGATGCGCAAAGTCTGTTCCCTGCGCAACAAGGAGTCGTGGCAGCTGGGCTGGTGAGCCTTGATGTGTGAGGCACCAGTCAAGGCCGCTTTGGTAGACTGCGGAGCACGCAGGGTGGGTTCTCCGGAGGGGGGTGTACATGCGCACGTAAGTCAAAAGGGCACAGACAGAGAGACAGGGTGGCAAGAGGAGAAAGGCAGGGTGGTGCCCGTAGACCAAACTCTTGTAGCAATGGCGACAACTTTGGTGCCCAGAGAAGCCTTGGCAACGTGCCGCTGGTAAAATTTTGCTCTTTTCTGAACCGACCAGAGCACCATCGAGAAAAATGACTTTGACAATGACTATGAGAGCACGACAGCTCGCAGTCACAGTCGGGTTCGTCGTCATGCGGCATCTTTGCAAGCCAATGACCAACAAAAGCTCAATCAGATCGGCCTCAACCGCAGGTGGATGTGAATTGATGCGACATTAGCACGGTCCCAACGGCTGAACAAAGCAGAAGCAAACAATCAAAGACAGAGACAGAGTGATGCAACAGCGGAGACGTGCCCGGAGATTGGCACGTGAGACAGCACAAATTGTTTTGAGTCGCCAACCTGGGTTGCAAAGCAAAGGCCGTTGCGCCGGCCGAATGGTGAAACGTTCATGTGAAGGGGGTACGGTTGTTTGTGTGGGTGCGGCAGGGCTGGGACGTTTTGGAACGCACTTGCACATGTGTTCGGTTGCCACTTGAACTCCAGCAAAAGGTGGTACGCTTGTCAATTCATCACCATGATCAGTCAAAGATGAAGCCAAATGATGGCTAGCCCAAGCCAATGCGGCAAGGGCAAGCAACCGTTCAAGAAGAAGAAGAGAAATCAAAAACATCTCATCTATCGAGCACACTTAAGGCCACACGAATCAGGTGGAGGGCTACGATGTTTGTTCCTACGCTGGCACATCTTGCCGTTGGTGATCTACAATTGTACATCCGACCCCAATCGTAGCATGTTCATGTTTTGTTGATGGGGTCGCCATGGAATCTCTCAGTGAGCTCGTTCAGACGATTGGTAATCTCCTTTCCAGAGACGTGTTTAGAGGCTGCTGCATGAGGAGGAGAACGGAATGTTGTCAAACCGTCAAAGTCAAGCAGGTTCTAAGCCGATGGCCCATGCCAATGACCGTGGTGGCAAGAAGGCCATGTGAGCATGGCACATCTTGGTGATGCCCACCGATGCAGCTTGGCCCTGTGTGTTCTGCCTTGCCCGATGTGTTCTGCTTGGCTGGTGGCTTTATGCCTTGGTTTGATGGGCTCCGACGAAGCAGAAGTACTGCTGTGGCTTTGCGAGATTGAATGCTTTGTGTTAGGCCGGCATGAGCAAACGCCCTTTTTACTACACCCTGTCGGACCGTATACCGATTGCTACCGCTACTACATGAGGCCAGCCCTTGCCGCAGTTCGCCGGGCTTGTGACAGCTATCGCAACTCATTTTTTTAAAGAACAGGATGAGGTTAAGCGAAGAAAGGGCAGCTCCAGTGCATGCCTGGCAGATATAAACCCTTATACGAATGCACAGTTCATTGAAGGCAGGATCGGGGGTACGCCAAGTTCTGTGCCCGCGCCAATATCTGCACATCAATGCAATGCCAACACGCACACTTTCGCACTCTTACCCGCACGCAACAAGACCTCTGCTTCTTCATTAACCGGAAGACACAAGACGAACGAAGCAGAACCCACTTTGATCGCAACCACCTACCATCCCCTCCACCACCTGGAACCATAGGCGCACCCCAGCGACGGCCACTGGATACAACCTGCCCAGATGTGTCAGCACTTGTTCCATGGTCACAAACCACATTCACGCCATGCCCAAGATGCTCCAGCACTTGTTCCATGGTCACACAACAGATTCACGCCCTGCCCTAACGTTCCAGCGCGTCTCCCATACATGCTCCAGCACTGTTTCACACACACACACATGCACGGCCAACCCCTGATCGTCTATTTTTGGCGGACAGGGCGTTGACTAGGTAGCAAGCAACTTTTTCATTCTGTGCATTTCCATTTGGAACCATCGCAGCAAAGCAAGCCATTTCTGTTGTGACGCTCCACTCTTCGAAGGGTACGTCACCCATTGTGTGAAGAAATTTTTAAAACACATGCATTTGTCGCCCACTGCGCCCACTGCGCCCACTGCGCCCGCCATTGCCACAAACACCAACGCCACGACAACCAACACCACTAACACCACTAACACTACTAACACCACTAACACCACTAACACTACTCACACTACTAACACTACTAACACCACTAACACCACTAACACTACTAACACTACTAACACTGACACCACCACCACTAACACTAACACTAACACCACCACCACTAACACCACCACTTCTGCCCCTACTGCTGCCCCCACCACTTGGCTTTGGCTTTGACTTTGGCTTTGGCTGTGTTGCAATTTGTTTTTTCTCGAGCCTGCACCTTGCATTGCGTGGTCGATCCTTTCACTTCACCTTCCTCCTGACGTGTGCTTTTGCTCCAACCTTCGCCGCCATGGATGTGCCATCACCGTTGTCACAGCAGCCACCACAAGACGACCTATCCAGTCGACGTACGTATCCATTGCCAAACACCACGAAGCAGGGCGTTTTTGCAAAAATGCATTTCTCAGACCTTGCTTTTTTCGCCTCGATGCGCTCTTCCAAGCTCCTCCGCCCCTCTGACCCAAAAATGTTCTGTGTATCATGGCAGTGTCGAACGTGGAAGAACTCCTTGCACAGAAGGAAGAACAAAGCAGCAAGCGCATTCAAGAACAGAAGATGCAGCTGAATTCGCTACAGGCATTGAAAGGCAAGGATGAAAATCGGCCTGCAAGTGAGCAGCACGATGTGTTGGCAAAGGTGGCTCAGCTTGAGGAAGCAGTCAAGCAGTGCTCTGAGGGTGTGAATCATGCGACTCTCAAGGCTGAGGCTGAGAGCAACAAGAAAAGCATCGAGGAGCTGCGAGCTACCATGCTAGCTGCCATGGAGCAGAAGGACGAGGCGCTCCGAGCTGCCATGGAGAAGAAGGACGAGGAGAATGCACGCAAGACCGAGGAGCTGCGAACTGCCATGGAGCAGAAGGACGAGGAGAATGCATGCAAGACCGAGGAGCTGCGAGCTGCCATGCTAGCTGCCATGGAGCAGAAGGACGAGCAGCTGCAGGAGCTGCGAGCTACCACGGAGATGCTGCAAAGCAGCGTTGATGAAATTGCGGACTCCATCCGCAAGTGTGAGATGGCCAGCTGTCTCAGCAACTGGCTGCTTTTGAAGCTTCACGCCAACGAAATGCAGTGGGGCGGCCAATACCCGCTCATCATCGACCTCGCCAACTTTCTCAACGTTTTTTTCAACTGCGGCAATGTACATCATCCATCATTTTGGTACATACAGTCGTGCTACATGCAGGCTTCCCCCGAAGCTCAATACAGGATGTGCCAGGCCTACATTGAAGTTTGCACCCGGCTGCAAGGGCAAGGCGTGCCGCCTCATGTTTTTTTTTCTTTGCTGGATCAACAGCGCCAACATGGTTACGCGGCCGCGCATCTGGACTACTACCGGATCATGCCCGCGGGGCACTTGGAAAGTGTCTACCAGGAAAAGGCGGCAACGGATCCGGTTTGCGCGACGATGTATATCGGATTCAACGCGCTCTTGAATTGAAGGCTGAGCTTTGCACCCGGCTCGCCTTGTGTGGTGCGCCTTTTCTCGCTCCTTCTCTCTGGCAAACCCAACCTTGCCTCAATTGATACTGCTCTACTTTATCTTCTTTGGCACAAAAAGTTGACATGACGACGGAGACGGGGCAATATACAGCCGCGTGTCTGTCTGCTGTGAAACCACGGCCTCTGGTCTCACCGTTTGTCACTGTGTCGCACTGGTTATTCTGTGTCTCTCTGCCTCCGTTTGTGTCTCTGCCTCCGTTTGTCTGTCTGCCATCGCATCTCTGTCTCTCTGCGTGTGTCCCAGTCCCCCTGCCTGGCATGGCGTTGCTTCCATGCTCACAGGTGGTATATGCGCTCCCTTGCCCTCTTTAACTTTCACTTTGTTTCCAATTCTCTTCTCTTCTTCTCACATGTGGTAATTTTGTGCTTCGCTTTGTCTCTCTGTCTCTCTCCTCTTTTGTTCTTTCTTTTGTTCTTTCTTTTGTCACTCTCTCTTTCTTTATTTTACATGTGGTAGTTTTGCTACACGTACTTCTCTGTGCCTTTGCTTGCTGTTTATGCCTTTCTCTCTCTCTCTTTCATTCTCTCTCTTTCAATTTTACGTTGGCAGGGTTTTCGATCTCTCGACCAGAATGGACATGAGGCCACAAGCCGGGTGAGCTCCTCCTCCTTCTCGTGAGCACTGGTCACACCTCCTCTCAGCAAGGCAGGCACCCTTCGCCCTTCACCCCCACCCCCCCTCTCTCTCTCTATCTCTCCCTTTCTCTCTCTTGCCTTCTCTTTGGCAGCGTAGCCTTCGCTGGTTACGGTGCTGGACGGGCGAGCGCGTTTTAACCAGAGTGTCAACAGATCCCATGTCCAAATTCACGGCAGCCATGGTTGGACCATGGCATGGACAGCGCAGCAGGCGGGCCAGGCTTGTGGCTTCGATTGTTTGCTTGGTGCTCACGATTCAAGATCAAAAGGCTGCCGCACAAAGTGCCAATCACGCGCTGTGGCCAGAGACCGTCATTACCAATGAAATTATTGGCCTGCCCATCTCGATGGAGAGTGCCGACCTCAACGGTGATGGCTATCCAGATCTCCTGTTTGCTTCTCATCGAGAGCGCATCGTCTGGATTCCAACCTTGTCCAACGGTACCTTTGACTTACCTCGCACCATCACCGGAAATATCGGTTCTGGGGAGTCGGCCATTGCCGCCGACCTGGATGGTGATGGTGATCTGGACGTCGTCAGCACAAGCCACTCCGACGACAAATTGGCCTGGTATGCCAATGACGGTCATGGCGTCTTTGGCGACCAGATTGTTTTGTCCACGGATCTACCCATGGCTGGTGCGGCACGCGTTGCTGATTTGGATGGCGATGGTGACCTGGATATCATCTGCACCAGTCGCACGGACAACGCTGTCAGCTGGTTTGCCAACGATGGTCATGCCCGCTTCGGTCCGCGTACCCTGATTTCCACCTCGGCGGTCACTGCCCCCTTTCTCCTTGTTGTCGCCGATCTGGACAGCGACGGTGCACTCGACGTCCTCGCCGTTGGCGCTGCAGCTACCAACCTCACCTGGTTGCGCAACGGCGGAGGCGCCACCAGTTGGGAGTCCCGTTTCATAGCTGGAGCATGGGACAACACCTTCCCATCCCTTGCCGTGGCGGATCTAAATCGAGATGGCCACCTGGACTTGCTCGTTGGCACCAACTCTGACCACACCCTAACCTTATACTTCAATGGCCAAAACAATCAGTCGGGTCACTTTTCTTCCTCCACGCTCTCACTTGGAACCCAGCCCAGCGGTCTGAGCACCGGTGATCTTGACGGTGACGGCTGGCTCGATATTGTGGTCGGTCGGCTTGATTCAGTTCTTGTTCTCTACCAAAGCAACGATGCCGCCTTTACTCTGACCCGCTCCTCTAGCCATGCCTTGCCTCGGGTCGGGGGCGAGCTCATTGTCACGGCTGACCTCGATGCAGATGGTAAACTTGACATCGTCACTGCTGGTGAGCGTAATGATGCGGCCTTCTGGCTACGCAATCTGGATGGAGATGGCACCATGGCAAAGTATTTTCTCATCAATCGTCAGCTCGATGGACCCGAGGCCTTGCAAATTATCGATTGGGACCGTGATGGAAACATGGACATTTTTGGCCTTGGCCGAGCCAATTTCTTTATCGGCTATTTTCCAAACAATGGCTCGGCTTCATTTCGAGAGCAAGTACCACTTGCGCTGAACGTGTACCGTCCACAGTCTGCAGCTATAGTAGACTGGGACCACGACGGCCTTTACAATGCCCTGATTGGTGGTCAGGATGAACTGTTTCAATTGTTTCCCACAATAAACTCCAGCCAGGAAGGCTATCGACTCTCGCTTGTGACTTCGATGACAGACAGCTACTATACGGCCTTTGTAGTAGCCGACCTTGACATGAACAACGTTACTGATGTGCTGTTTGCTTCAAACTTCATGTTAGCCTGGTATCCCTTGAGTGAGATGGGCCCTTCGATCGATGTGAAGATCATTGCTGACAATGTGCGGGTTGTAGCAGCCGCCGTTGTGGACTTGAATGGTGATGGTATCAACGATGTAGTCACGGCTGAATATACGGGATCGCGTGTGACTTGGTATCCTGGCTTGGGTCTCGGCACCTTTGGCACTGCACGCACCATTGCCACGCTGAATCCACGGCCGTCTGATTTAAAGGTTGCTGACCTCGACGAGGATGGCTGGGCCGACGTGGTGGTGCTGAGTCGCGATGCAAACTTGGTTTGGTATCGTAATCTAGGCGATGGTACCTTTAGCGACGCGATAATGCTAGCCGTGGCTGTTGATGGTTTGTGGGTCGTGACCCTTGCGGACCTTGATGGAGACAGCCATCTTGACGTGATCTATGGCTGCACGCAAAACATTTCCTGGCTGTGGGGCAACGGGAATGGTCAGTTCGCTGCAGCCGAACGACTAACTCTGCTGTCCTCTTCGCCGGCGTGCATGAGTGTTGGCGATTTGGACGGCGACGGCGATCTTGATCTGGTGTATGGTGGCATTCTCAGCAATGTTGTCGCGGTGCTGGAGAACACATTGGTGGAGCAAGGCTTCACTCCGCCTTCACTCGGGACCACAATGAGCACCTCAAGCACCCAAACCACCCCCTCCAGCACTGCGGTATCAAGTCCAGAACATTCTGCAAGCATGTCGTTCAGCGGCGCAATCACCGGTGTGATTGTGGGCATTGTGGTTGCAGTGCTTGCCACGCTGATGCTGTTGCTGGTGCTCTGGCGTCGTCGCGAGCGACAAGCTCTCATGGTCTCACCCGGCGATCCGCGGGCGCGAGCCTTTTGGATGCAGTTTGAGGAGTCGCTTTCACAACTGCAGGCAACAAACACTAGGCCTGACGCGCCTGCCGAGGAGGCACTCTCAGCTTCACACTTGTCCCTCATTCCCTTGTACGAGCTTTGCAATTAGTTTTGCCGCCGTTGCCGTCATTACCACCACTGGGGTGCCACTCACTTTTGGCTTTTCTCATTTTTTTGGATTAGGGATGCTCTGCATTTGCGCGGCACGCTGGGCCGCGGACACTTTGGTGCTGTTCGGGAGGTACGAGTGCGCAATGGCGTTTTGCCTTTTGGTCATCTCGGTGTACCTACAACTCACCCAGGCAACTTTTAGGCAAGCACGTTTCGCCTTGGAGCGCAGAGAGGCCCCTTACGTGTGGCGGTTAAGTTCTTTGATGCTATGCAGGTGCGAGCAATGATGTGTTGTTCTGGCAGCATCATGCAAGCGCTCTGCGCCACGATCCGTTGCCACCCATGTCTTAGAAACTATGTGTTGCGATGCGTTGTTTTTTGCTATGTTTTGTTTTTGTTTTTTCTAACACAGGAAACTGACTTTCGGGCGGTCCTCATGGAGGTAGCTCTAATGCATGTCGTTGGATGTCACCCCAATGTTGTTACTTTACTGGGCGTAGTCTACGACAGGTATGTATGCAGTCCTCTGCATCAATTTACCCGGGCGAGTGGGCCAAGGCATTGTGCTTATTTAATGTGCTGGCAGCGTTCCTTTGAGCCTGGTGCTGGAGTTTGCAGACGGTGGTGACTTGCGGTCGCGCTTGCGAGAGGGCGGCCAAGAACTGGTCCCGTTGACTGCCCGTGTAGGTGCCTGATACATTGTTTGCTTCATCAGATGAATGGATGGGCCCGGGCCTTGGATTCACCTCTGCCATTCTGTGCCACAGTTGGATGTTTTGGCACAGGTGGCGGATGGGTTGGCTCATGTACACAGCCACTCTTTAGTGCATCGCGACCTTGCCAGTCGCAACGTGCTGTTGTTTGCTCGTAAGGGCGATGTGCCAGCGGCAAAGCTAGCTGACTTTGGATGTGAGTTGTATTGTTTTTCCAACAGCTAATGAACAGGAATGCAGCTCAGCATGTGCTGAGAAGACACGCCGTCTCACAGAACATGCTTTGTTCGCAGTGAGTCGGTTTGTCTCATCCGAAGAGGAATACTACAAAGTTTCAAGCCTGGATGACATGCCGTTTCGGTGTGTTGCGGGTCTCTGTCTCTGTCTCTGTCTCTGTCCCTGTCTCTGTCGCTGTCGCTGTCTCTGCCTCTGTCTCTGTGTCTCTGTCGCTGTGTCTCTGTCGCTGTGTCTCTGTCTCTGTATCTGTTTCTGTCTCTGTCTCTGTCTCTGTCTTGGTTTACGTACACCTCCTGTGCCTGATCCAAGCTACATCCCACTTGTGATTTTAAGGTGGATGGCACCAGAGACGTTGGTGGGGGGACGATTTTCAGTTGCTTCGGATGTTTGGTCACTTGGTGTCGTTGTATGGGAGGTTGGTTCCTGATTTGCGACTTGATCAAGCTTTCAGGAAGACCACCATGCAACGCTTACTTTCCGCTGAACTGGATCAGGTATTTAACGAAGGGGCCACGCCCTATGCGGGGCAGAGCTTGCAAGTCATCATGGAACTGCTGAGTGCCGGTCAACGGCTAAATTTAGTGAATGTGCCGTCGTCGTTGCATCGGTATGGCTCGGACAATCTGTACTGGTCGCAAAGGGGGAAACTATTACTTTGCCCCGATAACTCAGCCGGTGCTCATGTGTGGCGACATAGACTGTGTGAGACGCTCTTTGATGGAGAAGCGGGAAAACGACCTGGCGCCAGCCTGGCGGCCAAACAGCTTCGAATGGCCAGCAGTCGGCAACAAGGGCTTGCGACGAATCTCATGTTTGATCTGGAAACGGGCTGGGACGGGGACGAAGCCGAGAGTGCCATGTAGCTTCCCTGATCTTGGTCTGAGAAAGTTTGTATGGCCCTTCTAATCTATTGGAGCCGCTACTATCATGCCGCGGACAAGAGTCTGGGCAGTCTAGGTGCCTGTTTGACTCGGCCCAGCGAACCGGGTGTGTAGCAAGATGCCTTGGTGAGATAGCTAGCATGCTTCGTTGGGCACTCGGTGCGGGTAAGTGCGAAATCAGTAATACGCGGAGTTGGGGCCGAGAAAGTCGAGGCAGAGAGAGAGAGAGAGAGAAAGAAAAGCGCAGTTGACAGGGAGAGACAGAGAGAGAGAGAGAGAAAGAAAAGCGCAGTTGACAGGGAGAGACAGAGAGAGAGAGAGACAGAGAGACAGAGAGAGAGAGAGAGAGAGAGAGAGAGAGAGAGAGAGAGAGAGATGGACGTGGTGACCCGAGGATTCGGTTGAAACAGAGAATGGCAAAGGTGCACAGAGACTGCTTGTGTGCCTGTGTTCCTCTGTACCTGTGTTCCTGTGTGCCTGTGTACCTGCGTACCTGTGTACTTGATGAGAGACCAAGACGGATACGACGGCGAGGGCACACACACACACACACGCGCGCACACACACACACACACACGCAAGGACCACAGGAAATAGAAAGAACAGGGCAGAGGGATGGCGAAGGTTGAAAGGTTGAGGTTGGGTGGGATGACCAGTAGTACAAAAGTACAAAGCGAGCATGTTGGGGTCGCACAGCAGGGTGCACAGACGCAGAGCCGCTTGGGAGCACAGACAGGGCAGCAAGAGGGTGAAGAAAGAGACGACCAGCTGAACGAACGGAAGTGCTATGGGGCCACAGGAACGGTTGGACGAGGTTGGGTGGTTGGGGGCAACAGGTCGTTCATAGAAAGGTTGGGGTGGCCCCCATCGACTCTGATTTCGCCCAAACCACTGGCTTGTCTGAGCTTGGTGTACAGGTTGTTGGGGCCATCATCGCTGCTTGCGTCGTGGATGGGTAGAGAGTGCAGTGCGTTTGAATTGTCGGGGGCCTCGACCTGCCCGGGGTGCCCCTTGCTTGTATGGCCTCTCGATTTCGTCGCAGAGAAGTGTTGGCGCCCACTGTTATCCGTGGTCCCATCACCGAGGCCGCTCATGCCGGCCTGGCCTAATCCCAGTAGCCACACCATGCCCGCCTCTCCCCTTCCTCCTGTGACCCTTTGATCCTTTTGCCCGAACCATGCCGAAAGCGTGTGCCTGCCCTTTTGCTTCCTTGCGTTGGCGGTGTTTGCCCGATGGGAATTTCAGCGTGCTTCACAACCGGGCAGAGACTCGCAATCCATCTATCAGCTACCTGTCACCCGAATACATGAGCCGGTGGCTCGTCTTCATCCCGACCTAAATGCACCGCCCCGGCTGCCAAAACAACGGGCGGGCGGCGACGGCCAGGAATGTGCGTCACAAGGACGCGAAGCGGACACGACGCGGAGCCATTTCGCTTGACACGTGCGTGAGTGTATGAAGGTTTCACTCTCTGACAGCATCGCTGCTCGGACTATAATCTCTGAATTGTATTCAGGGTTTGATGATATCTCTGTTTAAGCACAGATTTATCATTATGAGGTTTTATTTGCCACATCACTCCTCTTGAGTTTTTTGATGAAAACTCCGTGTCTCTACCTCCGAGAAAACCTCGGATATTCCTCTCTTTTTCTTCCGCAACCCACATGATCTCTGAAACTTTTCCCGTGTATCCTCGTTTCTCTTTCTTTCCTGGGCTTTTTCAACTGATGACACATGAACATTTGAGCACTCTCTGCCTTTTTTTCATAACCCCTTTCTCTCTCTCACTTTGTCCCTTGTTGTTGTTGATTGCATTTTTTGTCTCCTGTTGCGACACACACACGCAACATTCTCTCTCTCTCTCTCAAACCGACCAAACCAATTCATTTTTCTCTCTCTCTTTCTCTCTCTCTCTCTCTCTCTCTCTCTCTCTCTCTCTCTGAGCCCATTTTACTGGGGGAGGGGTTTGCCGCTCGCTGGAGAGGGTTCTTGTCCTAGTGTGCCTGGGGCGGTCGTCTGTCCCTGCTGGCTCCCACGGGCTGCTTCTTGTTCCCCTCGAGTCCATCAGATTCTTGTTGGTTGGTTGGCTGGCTGGAGTTTCCTGTTTCGTTTCGTATCTCTCTCCTGCAGCAGAGGATGGAAACTACCGTTATAACGACTTCGGGGTCATCTCCAAGGACATCGGGCACGACGTCGCCGACCGCTGATGCGCTGCAGAGCCAGCCGCTGCCCGGTGCCACCGCCCTTGCAGCAGCACCGGTTGACCTTGGCGCAGGGGACCATGCACTCAAACGGGAGTTGACGTCTGAGGGGGATGCCAAATTTCACCCAAAGGCTGCTCGGGCTGCCACGGC